CTTTGTGGTTTCCACAGCTGGATTACATTAAGGGCACTTATCAGAATTGCTAATGCCTACCCCAAGAACCAAGTCTGCTCTTGGTTGGCAATCTGTCCAAAATAGCCATCAAAGTGATCAAGGCATGTCGAGGAGTGTGGCATTGAAACCCGAACAAGTGTACGCCAGTCCACTCTTTTTTGCTTGTGTCTGTTTTCATTCCCAGACATAAACAGCCTTATGGGCAGTGGTCTCAACTTTAACAATTTCTTCCAGCTCCAATCTATGTTCTGAGTTATAGGAATCTTGACTCTTTGTTTGTTAGTATACCATTGTTACTTCTCAATCAAATGTATTTATATTGCTTTAATAATCTTTTAGTAGTCTAGTAAATATTCCTGCTTCAGTTTTGGTTAATGAAAGCTATCCATTCACTCGTCAAAAAACCAGAAGTTTTCTCAGCTGACTGCATCCTTCTCATTCCAAACAAAACCGCTCGATGCTACATCGTATAAAAGAAAGCAAGAAACGAATACATGTTCTTCATCTAGCAATTTTCTTTACTTAATTGAAATGTAACAGCAAAGAAAGGATTCAAGGTAAAGATTTATTATATATATATATATATATATATATATGAACTAAAGATATACCATTTAAAAACTAATCAGTTATAAGTAGAAATGTTCTGATATTGTTTAAGTATGATAAATTTTATGACATATATTTTACCTAAATCAAATGATAATAAATAAAATGATTCTTATTATATTTATGTGTTGAGGATGCTCTTACTATAATTAATGTGAGATTTACTTTAATTATCATTTTAATACTTTTTATCATGTGTAGAGATAATAAACTTATTGCATTGTTTGGATATCATACATAAGGATATGGAGTTTCATGGAGGAAAATATAGAGGGGGTAATGCCTATTGTGGTATATGTTAAATTGGCAAAAACTCACAACCATTAAATTGATTGAAGATAATCTTGATACTTGAATATAATAAAAATCTTTTCATTTATTATCAAATGGATTTAAGTTATATAATCATTTAAAATTTAATATGGTATCAACGCAAGTGATATAATAATTGAAAATATTAAAATAATTTTATTATGTTTATATGTAAAGTTTATGTCACGTGATAAGTCTATTATCTTCACATAAATGTAATAACTTGGAGTATTAAAGTCATATGCTATTATTAGTAGTATTAAAATAAGTTGGTTATCTTCAATTTAGGGAAATAGGAATAACTTAAATATAATAAAATTCTTTTTATTTTTTAAAACTAAGTCTTTTCACATCACCATACGTCGACTATTTGTTTTTCTATTTTTATGATTTAATATTAAAGAATAAAGTGAATCGGGGGAGTCTTTTACATGACAGAAAAGAGAAAGTAAGAAATACTGATAGAGAAAGCTGGCTGAGATTATAACCTAAAGTTCAAATCAACTTGTAACCCAAGCACTTTTGAACCCCAGAAGAAAAAGGCAACAACTTCTCAAGCAAGCACTTCTGTTTTAACTCTACTTTTGTCGAAGGAAGTAATAAACTTTCCACGTAAGTACTTCAAACAAGTTGAGAATAAAAGGGTTACGTCAGAGCCCCAACTCCTAAACACACACACATTCTTTCTCTTTCTTGGATCGTCAAAGCCCTTGCTTTTGTTAGCTAATTGACGCTAACCAAAGCTACACATCACAACCCAGACATTGAAGGTCTCTGGTAATTCCTCACCTTTTCTTTCGAACCCACTTTTTTTTTCTTATTTTTTTGTAGAACTAACTAAAATTCTGCTTCTTTTTATAGGATATTCTCTAAAACTCAATTATTTTGTGTTCTTTGATTGGTTGTTAAATTTTATTGGTTTTTAATTGATGAGCTAAAGAAACAATGAAGATAGCTTCTTCTTCTTTTTTTTTTCTCTTTTAGAGTTTGTTGACTTGGTTGTTTGTAGACTGTAGTATCGAGACTAAATTAATGGAATGCAAAATGTTTAAGGCTTTTCTTTGATTTTCTCTGCTAACAAACAGAGGCTTAGAGGATCTTATGTGTTGGCTGCTGAGAATACTGAAGAGAAGAGGAGAACAAATATAAGACAAGAAAGAAGATGATTTTTGAAGCTAATGCTTTGTGTTGTTTCGGTTTTTGTATGTAGCCCATATTATCTCTGTAAAGCATCAATCATGTCCAATTAAGTTTCACCTTGACATTTTAAGATAATCTTTATATGTAACTTTGATAAGATTTGTGTTATTGCAGTAGTTGCACTATGCATATTATCTCAGCAAAGTATCAATCATGTCCAATTAAGTTTAACCCTGATGGTTGTTTGTAGAAGATATTCAAGTTGAACATCATTCATCATTGTGATATTCTATATGGCTTACATCCCTCCACACAAGCGGCATTCAAAGGATTCTGAGAGGCCAACACCTACTCCAGAGTCCTTGGCTCCCATATTTAAGAGAAATGTACACTTGAGAGCACCAAAGCCTAATGTTGGTAGGAGCGGAAAGATCGTATATTCGAACTATGCCATATCTAGATGGTTTGCTGTTGGTTTGGATGATGGTAACAGCGATTCTTCTGCTGCTCGTCTTGAGCCAGTTTCAGTTGAATCTATGGAGAGGAAAACAGGAGAGAAACCTGTAATTTTGGTGAAGAGTAATGTAGATAAAGGTTAGTGATGCATCATTTCCAGAATAATCCCCCTTTTTATCCCTCTGTGTTTTGTTGCTTACATTGTGGAAAGTTGTTATTAACAGCATATTTTTCCAACTGTCTTAGAGAAAAATGAAGTGAAAGGAAGCCCATGGTCGTCTATCGCAGAAAATGTTCTGCCAGACCTGTTATCTTCCTTTGAAATTGCAAGGGCTGAAATAGAGAGCCAAGATTTGAAAGAAGTAAAACCAACATTGGTTGCTAGGTTTGGCAAAATACTTTTTCATGGGTAAGCATTGATTACTTGACTACTGCTTCATCTAGTACAGATAATTCTTTTCTTCACTATACGAGTTGAATTTGAAAGAAAGTTACAGAAATTATACAGAGAGATATTGTTGAATTTCAATAGCTGAATGGTATAATTGCAGTTAAAATAGAGTTATGGTGTGACTGTGATGATATTTTATTACGTATTGACCTTTTGAAACTGAAAATTGGTGGCTATTGCAATATCAATTGAGGGACCAAGATACATTTATAGATAAATATGATGTCCAACTCCTAGCAAGTAGCCAGTTAAAGGACCAATGCATTAAAGAAAAACACTCTGCAACTGTGGTAATTGTACCAGATTGATTAGCAGTTATTATATTAATATACATGGTGCAGGAGCCCTTCAATGAACCTGGAAAGTGTCAGAAAAGATTGCGTTACAGAGACAACATTCAGGAATTTGAAAAGATCATTTTACACAAGTCTTCCTGCTTCATATGTGGGAAACATTATGGCTGAAGTTGTCCCAAAGATTGGAGTTGATTTTGCAGAGGTGAAGGATATATACCATGTGAAGGTATATTTGCCCTCTAAACTCTAATTCCTAGATCACAATTCTCATATATCTGATTGTGTTAGCTATTGAATGTTTTAATTCTCTTACATTTTCTATAGTTGTCTGATAGCACACGACTGGATTCAACAATCTCCTGCAAATGTACAGTAAAAGATGATAAAAACCTGCAGCTATATAAGGCAAGTCTTCTGCTGCCCATGGACCAATATATATGCCTGATGAGTTGAATCTCCTTCTCATTCTGTCCTCATGTTGATGTGCTATTATCAGATGCATTAATGTATTGCAATTTGTAAATCATATTTGGGTCTTGATTAAAATTCTTTACAGCTTTCTGTCTTACTTTCACTCTCTGGCGATGTCTTTGACAGTCTGACCCTCTCGGATATTAGTTTGTAGTTAAAAATTTTGAAGTACATATTTCTGTTTTTCCCCCTCACTTTTATCCACTTTCTTGTTTTTTGTATTTACGGAGGCATACCATCATAAGGGAACTTTTCTCTTGTAGGTTGAACTAAACCAAGTGCGTGACATGGTTGTAGACATATCATGCCCTGATATGGATCTCGACTTGAGGCTGATGCTTTGCCACAAAAGAATCTTAACATCTCTGACCGTAAGTTAGTTTGCAACGTTATGGTCTCTAACGACATTGAGTTTTATCAATTTAGCATCATTACTTGCTCAAGCATGAATTTTCGAGTTGTGAGGCGACTCCTCATAACTATCTTTTGTCGATAATATGGACAAAAAAGCATGTGAATTTATTCACTAAATCTCAACTATGATAAACTTTGAGAAAGTAGCATCAACTTGGTATTCTAATAAGGTAACCTTTCATGCCTTATTTTTTAGTAAAAAATTTATTCTTCATGTGATGCTGGTCCCTGGTTGGGTTCCTTTTTTCTTTGTGTTTACTCTTTTATTTGTTGAACTATCAACATATTTTAGATTTTTTTTCTCATAATTATGCAAGTTAGTAGCAGTCAAGGAAGAATGAAGGAGGGTCTCATGCGTACTTACATTATGATAAAGTTTGTAATGAAAGGTTTTTCATCTGACTTATTTTATTTCACTCTTCCCAGGATGATGAGATACAAAGCATTAGAAAGCTGATTGACTCAGCGGTTCTAGATCCAGATGTGAAAGGTGGGTTGAGATGGCCGCTTGGAAAAGCATCTACTGGGGATAGATACAGTGTTGTTGGTGTTTGGCACACAATGGCTACTACTTATCAAGGCTCATCCATGAGACTCAAGGTAAGATATGCTGATCGATTTGATTTCAGAACTGCATATGGGGAATCTTCGAAGGAGGTTGTCCTCAAGTTGAAAGGAATGGTGTCAGGACTGCTGGTAAGTGCCTCTTGTCATTTTGAATTATTTTTCATCTTCATTAAACCTGATATTGTCCTGTGCAACTTAGTCTTAAGAAATAGGAATAACTGCATTGTCCTTGTCTTCAAACTGAAAGGTTTGTGGTAACAGACTCTGGTTGTTCATACCATGCCAAAGACTCTGGTCTGTGCAGCCATGAACCATGTGAAAACAAAAAATATACCTTCGGCATTTTCTTGTTATTTTGTCTCTATTTCTAAAAGGAAATTTTATATGATCTACTTTTCATTCAATTCTCAGGAGCAGGAGGTTGAAACAAATGTGATCTCCGATATGCTTAAAGACACCTTAAGGTTGATATGGCAACACTTCTTATGCTGCAAGTCTTTTCTTTCCTAACATGAAGGAATGCCTTCCCCATGCTCTTCTCTTCTCTTTATTGCTCACTATCTGTGAGTTGTGTGTTTTTGATTTTGTTGAAAAACAGGTGGTTATAGTGTATTATGGCTAGCACCAAGTAGTGCCAAAATGTGAAATATATGTATGCAGTTTTGAAGAGAAGGGAAATGTATCTGGTTTGCTTTCTTGCTTTATTGCAACCCTTACAATTCCACCATGTTGTTCCCTTTCTTTCCCCTCTTTGTGGAAGGTACAACCAATTACAAGTTTGGAGATGGTCACATTTCCAAAAAAAAAAAAAAAAAAACCAATTTTAATGGAGGATGACGAATTGGGGTGCTGAAATAGAGGGAACAAAAGTAAATGAATGTACCAAAGATCAAAAGATTCGGTGACATCCATCCACAGGATTTACCTCTACTCTATGTCCAGAGATCATTATTGGGGCCTTTTATGTATGGGTTAAATCTTCATCAAGCTATAGAATTGAGTAAGACGTCCAAGAAAGGCATTGAAGATAAGACAAATCATGGTTGGAAAATCTTTGCAATCCACGATTATTTTTTTGTGGGTTAAACAAGTCTACTTTACAGTCAGCTTCGTGTGTAGCTTTCCTATCAACCAAGCAATGAAGTTAAAAATTAAAGGAAAAAGGAGTTCAGACCTATCTAAGAATAAAGCTACTCGTCTAGACTCATAACTTTGTTCAACTTCAGCCCAACCCATCTGAACCACTGGACGAGAGAGAGCAGAGCACCGTCTCAACCGTTGTTCGACAGACAACATTTAACCTCAAGTTTTCACTTCCTTATAAACACATTTCTCTTTCAATTCTCTCGGACACGAACTCCTTTCTGCGGAAATTCCTTCAAATGAAACTCAATCTCTTCTTAAACCCGAACCCCACATCAAACTCTTTACTCCCTTTCTTTTCTTTCCCTTCAAAGACAAAAACCCAAATTCCCTTGTTAAAATCACCCACTTCTCTTTCCTTCTTTTCAAAACCATCTCCTTGTTTCATCCCACTTTGCTCTTCCAATCCTTCTACCAATTCAACTTCAAAGGAATCAAGCTTGGTGTCCAATGGATGGCCCCAAACTTCAAAATTCAATATTGGAGAAGAATCTAAAGAGAATTACAATGTGGGAGTTGGGAACCCAATTGTCCCAAGTTTTTTTCCAACTCAAAAGATGAGCTTGAGTGATCAGGCCTTTTTTCTGTGGGCCTTTATTGCTTGTACGGTATGGTGTTTAAGGCTTTGAGGTTATTTGGTGCTCTGGGTAATTGTTTTTGGCTTGTTTTTCCATGGGTGCTTTCTGTTTTATGGATTTTTAGTTCTTGTTTTATGTATTGTTAGATTTTTCTATATGGAATTGATAATGTTTGGATGTTTGAGAATGTTGGAATGATAGACTATGCTCGGTTTTGGGTTTTCATTGATTGGAAAGTGAGGTTAGTAGGAGCTTATAATGGATTTGATTCTGCATATGGGTAGTTATTTAGGGTTTCGTGGTTGTTGGTGCTTATTTGAGATTATTTAATGGTGGTTCTTGGTTTTGGCATGTTTTATGCGGGTGCTTATTGCTTAATATGGATTTTTTTTCAAATTTGATATTTATTTCTTGTTTGTATGCAGTTTTTACAGTGTTATATATATATATTGATGATGTTTGGATGTTTGAGAATGTTGGAATGGTAAGACTATGCTTTGCTCTTGGTTTTCATTGCTTGGAGGGTATCTCTTTGTTGCCATTAGGTGCTTTGTTATATGCGGTAGTATGGATTGGAAGTGGATTTTGGAAAAAAAGAGAAAAATTGCTGTTTTTATTAGGATTTTGATTATTAAAAATGTTTAATATGATAACATATTCTTTGTAGTTGTGTTTATAGTTTGTATAGTACATTTTTGGTGGGTTTTGTAATTATTGGGTGCTGATGGGATTTGAATTATTTTTGGATAGTTTTCATTTTGCAGTTTACTATGGCTAGTGATTGAAAATTAAATAGATTCTGTTGCTAGGTGTTGGTAAGAAATCAAGTGTTCAGTGTTAAAAATAGAAAGTTGAAATGTTCATATTATTATCTTCAAGCTTTGGTACTAAAGAATATGTTTGGTATTGAGTTTTCCTAATTTCTGATTAATTAATACTAATTACTTGGATACGTGCAGACTTCTTTGGCATTTACAAGTCTGGTCATTGCAGCTGTTCCAACACTCTATGTAAGTTTTCAGATATTGTATCTGAAACTTGACTGGAAGATTGATGTGATATCCTAGGCTCTCTATTCATCATTTCATTTATAAATTAAATAATTTTTCTTTATGTTATGTTATGAATATGATGTAATTTGAGAATGGCCATAATGCATAGTGAACAATAATGTGTAATATTGCACAATTTCGTTCGCACCTTATTTGTGATTTGACCTGGCAAGAGTGACAGGACAGTTCAAGCTTGTTCATCCAGATTGTGGTGTTTTCATAATGTAGTCAGTTTTAAACTTTAGCTCTGTAGCCTTACATGCTCATTAGGAAGTCTAAGTGAGCCTCAATCGTAAAAAAAAGGAATGCTTTTGTGGGTGATAAATTGAACATAAGTTTTTCTCATATGATTTACTGATTAGGTCTAGTTTGCATTTTAATATTGTTATATTTATTTCCTTTTTGCCTGTTCCGCAGGCAATGGGAAGAGCTGCAGTTTCTCTTTCAAAGCTAGCAGATACAGCTCGAGAGGAACTTCCCAGTACTATGGCTGCAATTAGGCTTTCAGGCATGGAGCTCAGTGATCTTACACTGGAACTAAGTGATTTAAGGTGATGATTAAATCCTTAATTTCATTTTTTTGTTGCATAATTGTTTCTCATAAATCAGCAGCAGTAGGTGTTTTCCTCTTGTAAATAGAAGATAAGAAAGTGATTTTGGATAGAGACTAATATACTCTTGCAGGAAAAAGTAGAGTTTTTCGTAGAAGGTTCTGTTTCTATAGGATTGTTATAGCATGGGATATTTAGATGAAGTCTGTTGGTGATCACTATTTCAAGTACTAAAACCAAGAAATTTTGTTTCTCTGGTGGATTCTCATGTAGTGCAGGAAGAAAATACAGCATATTTTCTTGTACAAAATTTCATAGCATGTTATAGTCAATGGATGTAATGCCCTTTTCAGACCCTAAATAGTGAAAATGAGATGTAGACCTTTAAAACTTTTCATTCTTTTTTATTGTCACAATGGCTTTAATGATTTTGAGTATGATGCTTTAGTTTGCTTTCTTGACACTCAGCCAAGAGATTGCTGATGGTGTCAACAAATCAGCTCAAGCTGTGCAGGCTGCTGAAGCCGGAATTCGGCAGATTGGTTCACTAGCTCACCAGCAGACCATGTGTAAGTTCAAACGTTGCTCTTGAATCAACTTTCCTCCCCACCACAACCCAAGGCGTGGTACCCATTTTTTTTGTCCCATGTACTTTACTAGAACTTCACTTTTTGTAACATCTCTATCCAGCAATGATTCAAGAACGGGCTAGCTTGCCTATCATCTCCATACAGCCTGTTGTTGCTGGGGCTGCTAGAAAAACTTCTCGTGCTGTTGGCCAAGCCACAAAGACTATCATGAATATAATCTATCGAGGAGAATTCAGCTCAGAGCATGACGAAGATAGTGGTATTCATCGAGTGGAAAACTAAGGTGTTCACTGCTTCTGGATACTACTGGATGGCTGATGTCTGTGTACATAACATAAAGAATCAAGGCATCAGATAGTTGCTTTCTCCTCCAACAGTTTATATGCCCAAAAATTGTCAAATCTAATTGCCTTCAATATGTTACATATAAATTATGAAATACAGTGTTTTTGTCTGGGCTTTACCCCTTTTCCCCTCACTTTTATTATTTAGTGTAATCCATGATTTTGTGGCTTTCTTTGAAAGCAGGAATGGTTTTAGTGATGCAAATCTGCATTATGATTTTTTATGACTAGACACTCTGATTCAGTAAAGAGACGCTGTCAGCTACTCCATACCTGTTATTTTTTTCATATTTTCAGCTCTCAGTAGGAAATTCGTCCTATGCTTTTTTCCAAGCTGTGTTCAGTCTCTCTCTGCATATCACCTTCCCCCATCCCCGTTCCCCCTCTGCCTTTCTCAGCCATAGAAATCTTCCAGAGTAGAGTGAGGGAAAGGGCGTGAGATGCTATTTTGCCTGTAATTATCCCTGACAAGGTTTCTTAGTATTTGACTATGGGTTTTATGACAGTTATAATGCATACATATGATATGCTAGCAGCTCCAGCCTCTAATAGTTTTACCCATCATTTTCTTTAAAAAAAATATTAAAAGGACTTTCTATCAAATACATCATAAAGGAGTTCATAATAACTATGTAATCCAAAAGGATCTCATTCTTGAGAGGGCTTCAACTATTCATTTCAATTTCAGAAAGGAGAATTTGAATTTAATTTTTTTATTATGATAAAAAATATATATTTATTATTAAGTTAAATGTTTGAAATACACATATTTATTAGTTTTGAATGCTAGTAAGAAAAAATGGGGTGACCAAAAGAAAATATGAGATACTTATTTCAATTTATGGTTTCATTTGATCACGTCCTGTGAAATCTGAAATGCCTTTAAAATATTTAAGGTATATCGTTAAGTTTGATATGTAATTAAAATATTTAAAATATGTTGTAATTTTGTAAGATTTAATATGTAATTAAAATATTTAAAATGTTTCTTAAAATACTCATCGAAAAGAGATTTTCATTTAAAAATGATACAATTTTAATTATTACTATCATAAAAAGAAAAAAAATTCTTTTGACATTTAACTATATATGTTACTCAAAAAGTTAGGTCAAATCTTTCCTTTCCCATATTAAAAAAAATGCTAGTAAGCTCTGTTAGAAGCATAGGCTTTTTATCTTAAGCATTAAATTACTTGCATATGGACTGAGATGTGGCAACTAAGGGTGAAGTCAAGATTTCTAGTCAAGGAGGCCACTCTACTAGGTTAATAAATATTGAAATATTATTATTTATAGTACCTCCCAATTTTCTTTTAGAAAATAAATTATTGTAAACTTTTTGCTTACTTTGAAATCATCGTATTTATTGAATTGTACATTATTATAATATTTAATATGTAAATATATATTATATTATATTTAATTTTAACAGTAGAGAAATTAATTGCTAAATTGGTTAATTAAATAGCCTAATTGAACTTGAGCTTTATCCCCATGATTGACCCACACATTCCCACAAAGTTAAAACTTGAAAGTATATCTTTAAAAAAGTAACCTGACCAAAAAAAAAAGTGAATGGCCTGACAAAATACCTACCTTACAAAACATTAATGCTAAAAACTTGTTCAAATAAACAATACGATTTAGTACAAAAAATAATAAATTTGGTGACATATTCATTCTAAACCTTATATTATAAGTAAAATCGGATTTTGTGAAAGCACACGTCGGCTATGTATTACAGAAATAACATGTATATATTACCTAGGACCTTTAGGTAGCTATTTTGGAAAAAACATATATATATATATTACTTTTCTTTTATTGAAAAACTAAAAATTAAAAGTATTAACCTACTAAAATCTTTGTCAATATACACAAATCAGCTCATCTTATTAATTAGTCACAAACAAAAACAGATTACTTATTTAAAGGAAGAAGTTTCTTTTGAAAGAATAAATCAACAATTAAATACCAACGAAATCCAATAACGAATTGGACAAATTAAGAATGAAATAGAAAAAATAATTTGTTCTGATATCCCTAACCCCTTTTAGGATACAAAAAGACATGAAGTAGGATTACCTTATCACAAAGAATTTAATGATAAATAAATCCCTACAAAAGCAAGACCAATCTAAATGAATAAATAAATGAAAGAATTTTGTAGAAAAGAAATCCAAAATTGGCTAAAGAAAAACTTTATAAGAAAAAGTAGTTCTTCGCTTTTTATGTCATAAACAATGCAGAATTAGAAAGAGGAACACCAAGATTAGTGATTAATTATAAACCTTTAAACAAAGTATTACCATGGATTAGATATCTAATTTCAAATAAAAAAGATGTTCTACAAAAATTGTGTAATGTACAAATCTTTTCAAAATTTGATATGAAATCGGGATTCCCTATGACCTATATTTTTCTTATATGCAAAAAATAATATTGCAAATGCCAAATTCTTTCATGTTATAATTTCCAATTCAATTGGAATTTTTATACAATTTGGTTATGATTTAGAAAGTTCTGATCTTTAGTTACTTTTCATAAAAGATTTTGATTAATTAGATTAATCCACAATTAATAATGCCAATTTTTGGTGGTATAGAAAATGGAAAATCTAATTTGGAGGATTACTCCATACACGGTTTATGTGAAATTTTAAACTTCATAAGCACAAAGAGAGTATTGTTACACATCCTTTTATTTATTATCTTAACTTATTAATTTTTAAATATACTTTAATGGAGCATATGGCAACCTTCTAAATCTACTTATGGTTTATTAAAATTTTAAAATTAATCTAAAAATATATATTATTTATTAATATAATGATTTTCTCGGACCGGATCGAATCCAAAAGTTCACGACCAAACCCAAACATAATCGGGCAGATAACCTGACCTGTGAACACCACTGATCAACAAATAATTACATTTAGATTTAGAACCATTTCTTCATTTATTTGTTAGTTAATCTACTCCATTAATAAACTTTGAGCTTTTTCTTGAATGAGTTTCCACAAAGCATCCACGTGGCGTTCTTCAGTCATAGTTGTCCCAATCGCACAACGAATGACATAAATCCCACCCACCACTGCATGAGTCATGAAAGCTCTCCCGCTTGAATTTACGGCCTCCAGCAGTCTACAGTTCAATTCTGTGCCTTCAAGCTCTTGTTTGGGCTTAAGCCTGAAGCAAACCAACGCAAACTTTCTCGGTAACACTATCTCAAACCTGTCATCTTTAGCCACGAATGCCTCAAACCGTTTGGCCATGCTGATATCGCTGCGAATGTGGTACATCAGGTTAGCCAGGCCATGCCTACGGATCGCAATCCAAAGCTTCAAGGCCCTGAATCGTCTACTCAATGCGACTTGCCAATCTTTATAGTCCAACACAGCTTTGAATTCACTAGCCTTGTTTCTTAAAATTTCAGGATCAGTTGACAATGAATCCACTAAGAACCTGGGTTCCTTAATCCACAAACAACAACAATCCATGTTAGTGAGAAACCATTTATGTGGATTCATGCTGATAGAGTTGGCAAGTTCAACTCCATCAAGGTAATGCCTGAGCTCGGGGCAAATGCAGGCACTTCCTGCATAAGCTGCATCAATGTGGAGCCAAAGCTTGTATTCCCTGGCAACTTTGCCTAATTCTGCAATGGGATCAATAGCTCCACAGGCTGTTGTCCCAATGGTTGCACATAAGAACAATGGCACCAAACCTGATTTGATATCATGTTCAATAGCCAAACGAACTTGTTTTGATGACATTGAGAACCCTGTTGATAAAGATGTTTCGATGAACTGAAAATTTGATGGTGGAATGCCTACCAATTTAGCAGCTTTTTGGAAAGTGAAATCCGTTTGATCAGATGCATAAACCATTAATTTGGTTATATTTTCCCAACCACCAAGTTCTTTCAAGGCTTTGTCTCTTGCTGCGGTCAAAGTGCAAACTGCGGTCTCACATGTGCTACCGTGCAAGACTCCACCACCAGTTCCAGAGAACAAAAATGAAGATGGTAGCTTAAGCAGTTTGCCCATCCAATCCAAGACAATGGATTCAAGTTCAGTGGCAGCAGGAGATGAAATCCAGTTGAAGCCAACCACATTAAAACCAGAGCAAAGCATCTCTCCAAGAAAACCAGCAGTGCTAGCGTTTGCTTGGAAGTAGGCAAAGAAGTTAGGACTTTGCCAATGAGTAAGGCCTGGTATGATGCAATCATTGACATCTTTGAGTATATCTTCCAGTGATTCAGGGCAATAAGGGGCAGAGTCGGGCAACTTTGCTGACAAGTAACCAGGCTCAACGCTGCTTTGAACTGGGTATTCCTCAATGTTTTTGTAGTAGTCAGCAATGAAATCAATCACTGCGTTGGAGTCATTTGTGAAGCTAGTTGGCTCAAGGGGGAGGAAAATTTCTCCAGAGGGACTGCCCATTTGTCAAAATGCAGAAATTGAAATTGTTTCTTTATTTCAATGGTATTCTGGCCAGCAGGCCAATGGTGTATATATAGCAAAAGAAGACGGAGCCCAGACAATGATGTGATAAATGTACATGGTGTTGGTGGCCAACAGCCAACGTAGGGCATTAATGTGGCCGCCCAATACCCACCGTCTCTTTGATTTACGTAAAGGACAGGGGAATAGGATGGAGTTAACCTTCCGAGAAAATTATAAGAATTAACTTTTATTGATATAAAATAAATTTAACTGATTTAATTATATTTAGTCTTAATTTGATAAAAATATTCTTAAAATTATTTCAAATAAATTAAACCATTAATTACAATTTCTTCTCATTTGTACTTCTGATTTCTCTCTCACCATCTCAGTTTCTCAAGTTTTATCGATTTCTCTGTTCGGCATTTGTCTACTATGTTTCCGATTTCTCTCTCGCATTTTTAAATTTCTCTTTCTTATACTTTCAAGACACCAAGTAATGGTTTTGATATGCTTAGGTCAATAGCTATTTGGAGAATTTGATTTTTAAGTATTTTAGATAAAACAAAAATGATAAAAATGATCACAGATGTTTGAAATAACTTTTAATTAAATCAATTCAAGACTTGGACACCAATAAACTCAAAAATTTAAAATTTATAAACCTAGGTTTTCAGAGAAAAGTTTTTTATTATTTTTAATCGAAATAAGTGTTTTAGATAAAAAAATTTGTGTTTTGATTTATGAAAACATGTTAGAAATATTTTAATCGGTGTCAAATTATCAAAAAAATAAAAAAATTGAAGAGAGTTTAAAAGATTTAAAGTTTGATTCGTAAGTAATAATAACATTCTATGCATTAAAGTGTAACAAAATATTTTTGAATATAGCGTGTAACAATAATAATTTTTTTTTCAACATGGCATGTAACAACATTTTTTAACCATGACGTGTAACATGTTTTTATATATGGTGTGTAATAACAATATTTTTTTTAACATGGAGTGTAACAACCTAACCATGATATATCACATGTTTTTGTACATGACATGTAACAATTTAACCATGATGTGTAACATGTTTTTATACATAACGTGTAATAAAATTATTTTTTTTTAACACGACGTAGCGTGTCACATGTTTTTGTATATGACGTGTAACAACCTAATTATGGTATGTAGCATGTTTTTGTATATAAGGTATAACATCATAACTTATAATTTTATTAAGAGTAATTTTGTCTAATTTAATTAAAAATAATTAAAATTATAAAAAAAATCTTATTTTTAAAAATTACTTTTAAAAATGTCCTTAACCTTCTCCTAGTGGGAGTATCACATGCAATGATAACCTTATATTTTCACATGTAAAGTCGTCGCATACACAACCACACAACAAAAACGTCTGAAAAAACACATGCAAACAAGAGAAAAACATGCGAGGAATTGGCAATGAAATAAAGACATGGCCAAACCTTTAGGGTCCTGCAAGATACCGTAATGCTGAGAGCTGCAGTTCGGCATTACCTCCGGTGCTTTCCCGTAACATGGGGCGCAAAGGCGGTGTAATGAAAGTTACTCGTGAGAGTCAATCCATTTGCCCAATAATCAATAAGATGGAAGGACGTCTCGCCAAACAAGAAAGGCAAGAATTGTTGGACACTGAAAAAGTTCGAAGCCAACACTGTCCGTACATATTCTATGGACAAGTTTAAATGTTAAAAATAAGTTCTTTTTTGTTATTATTTGGTCAGAGATTCAAATGAAATTTTTTAAATAGAGAATACTTACATTTACTATTAAATAGAATGCTCTAGTATAAAATCAAATATCTTATTATTTTTCCAGAATCAAATATCCATTTTTTTTTTGAATTTGATGGTATTGTCTTGTGTTCAATATTTTTCTATTCTTCTCTATTCTAATGTAATCAGTAGTTTCTATACTTAGAGCATGTTTAGTTTTGCTTTGTTTCTAAGCTTAAAACTATTATAAAGCTTTTATAAAAAAATAATAACTTTTAAAATTAAGTTAAAGTTGTTTGGTAAATTTACTTTTTATAAGCTCATTTTTATAGATAAACTATTTGACAAAACAACTTATAGAAACTTTAATTTTGATTAAAACTACTATTAAGGGTATTTAATAAATAAGGAAAAAATTGAATCAAATAAAGAAAGATGAGTGTGAAAAAAATATAATTTCTCCTATATTATTATGAATTGCTTAAAGATAAAAGAAGAAAATAAAAAATATTTGTTATTATTTTTTAAAGATTGACTTGAAATTTATGACCTTTGAAGTTGAATAAAATTGATGTTACATACAAGGAAAAGAACTCGAGATGGCATTAATAATGAATCCAACTGGGTTAAAAAATTCACGTTTAACTATTGACTTGGTAACCCATTTTCTTATTGAAATCATCTAACACTATTTCTATACAAGTATATCAAGGTCTTGTTGCCTTCACCAACAAAGTTTCTCTCCATGAACAAAAAGGTTTTGGCTTTTATATTTTTTTTCCATTTTTAATGGGTTGTTTATTTTGTCAAGGATTGCCACATCATCTATTAGATACTGTCAACTCAAATGTAGAATTCACTGCTAAGAAGCTCAGAGATTTTGCAATTCCTATTGCTAAAGAAATTAAAGTCTATTTCAATTTTCTTGTAGTGTAGCATATTATACTTAAAAAGAAAAAAAATCTTTAAAATTGAGTTACGACAAACGAGTATAAATATTGACTTTCAATTTCAGGTAATTTATCTCAACAACCATTGACCTATTTGACTAATTATTTCAATCATAATTAACAAATATTATATACACCAGAAAAAAGTTAAGAACAAATAAACATCACATAATGGTCAATAATAAACTGAGAAATATCAAACAAAAAAGAGAGTTTTCAAAGCCAAAGAAAAGAATGATATAAAATACAATGAAAAACAAAACAAAAAGAATAAGAAGAAATAATATATGAATACAGTTTTGAATTTTGAGTTTTCTTTTCTCTTAATTTTTGTAAAAATAAAAAAAAACCCTAAAAGGATGATTTGCAAAAAAAAAAAGAGAGAAGAGGGAGATTGATAGGGATAAAGGGAGGAGGTATTTTTTGAGAGAGGATCCTTTTGAAAAAAAATAACTCTCCTAAGAAATTGATGTGTTTTTTTATTTTTTTTAAAAAAAAGAGAAAGCTCTTAATTGGAACTTTTTTAAAGTTTTTTTTTTCAAAATTTTGTTCTTTAAAAGAAAAAACTGCTTTTTTTAAGAGTTTCTTACAAAATACTGTTTGACTCAACTTTTGCATTTAAAAAAGTAGATAAGTTAAAAATAAACTAGGCCAAACAGACAATTAAAGAGTGAATGATTATTGGTTATCCTTTAATCACATTTATTTGTCTTTGAATCCTTCTATACCTAATTTCGAGGTTGAGGGTATATGGTTATAACTTATAATGTTGATTCAATAATAATAACGAAAAGATCTTGTAACGTTGATTCTTTGAAAAAGAAGAAATAATAATAATAATTAGACAAATTATTGATCAAGTGAATACTTTTTGTCCTTGTCTCCTTAAAAGAGTGGAGCTAGTTTCCATTATTGAGTTTGTGAGACTAATTTCCATTATTGAGTTTGAATTAATTGCCCAAGTCTAGACCTATACCTTCCTCAAGGCTTAGGTGGCAAGTAGATGAAATTTGTAACATATGTAGACTTAACTCTTATAGACGTGGCCAACGCATTTCAGATTCCCACTTAATATCTACCATGTTGTTAAAAAAATTACAATGAATTTGGAGAGAATTGTAATATTTTTTCAAGTGTTTTAGTTAATTTTTTTATTTTGAAGGTACTTTGTGTTGGTTTTTTATTTTATTTAATGATTCAAAATTTGTTCACTTCATGAATGGATGTGTATGTATAATGAAATACGTTGGCAATTTTTCACTATCTATAAATATTCATTCCCTCATTGTTGAAAAGCACTTTTCATCTCCTGTATCCTAACTTCAGAAATTCTTCTAATCTACTCTTTCTCAAAAAATCATTTTAAGTTTTTCATGTTTACAAAAACTCTATTCTACAACATACTAAAATTCTTTTAAGAGCAGTCGAGAGATTCATCTCATGTATCCTGGCTTCAAAAATTCTCTTAATCTCCTTTTTCTCAACAGATCATTCTAAGCATTATGTGTTTACAAAAAGTCTATTCTACTATATTTTAAAATTCCTTCAAGAGTAGTTGAGAGATTTACGAGTTCTTCATATTTTTTATTTCAGTGTACATTAGAAAATCTTTTAAGTGTTTCATTGTATCTTGGAAGTAAGATGTCATTGATTGCTATTTGCATTGAAACCGTGACAGAAATCTACTATGAAGTTAGCGCTTTCCATAGCATGCCTTAAACAAGTTTTCACATTTAAAACTTTTTCTTATTCTTTTTTATTATTAACTACTAAGTCTCTGTTATTTGTTTGTGTGTTTTTCATTCTTTCGAATATGGATTCCAACATTTTGAGAATAAGTGAAAAAAAGAGAGAGAAATGGCTCGAGAGAGAAAGGAGAAAAAAGGCGAAAAGGTCATAATAGTTGTTGGAGTTTGATCTAAATAAATTGATGTGATTGTTTAAAGCGTGGATTTCAAAAATTTTCTTTTATAAAGGAAGTGAGCAATCTAATTAAACAAGTGAAAATACACATAATTCTTATTACAAATAAAATAATCACATCCTCAAAATAAAAATCTATTAAATAAGAAAAAAAGTACCTTTTTTTAAAATTCTTATTTTTAGACACCACCATACCAATGATTGATTTTTTGACTAAATAAGTTTACAACATACTATTCAAGAATGCTTTCAACTTAAACCTTGAGTGGATAGGGTATGGAATGCTAGACTGCAAGATGACAATTGATTTTGTCTTTATTTTCTTCTTAAAAATTAATGACTATTTTCTTTTAGAAAATTGAACCAAGAATGGAAGAGAAGAAAAGAAATACGGCA